CTCCAAGGCTCAATCAATCCTCCCACCTCAGCCTTCCAAGTAGCTGGGATTACAGGCGTGAGCCACCATGCCCAGCTAATTTTTAGTCTTTTTGGTAGAGATGGGGTTTTGCCATGTTGCCAAGGCTGGTCTCAAATTCCTGAGCTCGGACAATCTGCTCACCTTGGCCTTCCAGTGTTCTGGTATTACTGGTGTGAGCCACTATGCCTGATCAGAACTCCCTATTTTTTTCAGTTAGGAAGATTAAGAGTCCTGATTAGTTCACAGTCACACCAGTCGTGGCTAGATCTTTTGCCTTCTAGCATTCCCATTACACATGCTACTTTCTGTTCCTTAACTTATATTAGGTAATAGCTCTTTAAACAGATATATTTTAATTTACATAAAAGCATTAACTACTTTTTCTACTTTATTGCACCCTATAAAAGCGGATAGAGTTGGAACTCAGTGAATGCTTGCTGAAAGAAGGAAATGTGCATTCTTGTCTACAGGTGTTTTCATAGCTGCAGGGACATTTATAAAGCTTCCCCAGGTCTCAGTCATCAAAAAAGATGAAGACCATGGCTTTTATATTACATCATTTCTCATAGAGGGAATGGTTGATACATGACATGCGAAAGCAGGATCACTGTCTCAGGTAAAGGAACTACTAAAAGAACTATGAATACTTGGAGTCACTGAGTGAGGTTAAAGTTTCCAGGTAGTGGGAATCTATAAAAGAGAACTAAAAAGTTGCTTCAGGGACAAATGGAGGGAAAAAATAGTCAACCTTCCATTTAGAACGTGAGCTAACATCACAGCTGTTACTCTGATTGTAATTCCTGCCTACTATTTATACACTAAGAGTTAAGACAAAGTACAACATGACAAAATGTTCTAAACACAATGCAAAATAAAATAACCTAAAGGTCCAAAATTTAGTTCAATAGGTGAAATTAAAAATTTTCTTTCTAAAGTAGGAAAGATGTACAAAAACCACAAAAATGAAATAGAAGGAAGATATAAAGAATTTCTAAATGAGTAATTAATAAAGTGCTAAACTAAGGCAAGACACTATGAAAAGGAAAAGAATTTCAAAGACTAAAACATAAAGGGTAAAAGTCTAGGAAGACTAGAGGGCTAACATATAAAAAGTTAAAAGCAAAAGAGACACACACACAACACCCAAATAGGTATCAGCTAAGAAAAGTGCAAAAATTGAACAAAAACTAGAAAAACTGAGTAAAATTAGATTAAAAAGTTTCTAAAATGAGACGAATCTGCCCAAGTGTCCATCAATAGAAGAATGGATAAACAAAATGTGGTTTATACATACAAAGGAATATTATTCAACTATAAAAAGAAATGAAGTTATGATACATGCATACAACACAGATGAACTTTGAAAGCATTATGCTAAGCCACTGAATTGCATACTTTAAAATGGATCAAGTGGAAAAATTTTGTTATACATATATTTTATCCAAAGAAAGGAGGAAGTCAAAACAGACTAAAAGAAGAATCAGTATGCGACGAAACCAGAAATTAAAATAAAAAAATTAAAAATATATTAAAATCATAAATATGTGAAGTTATTGCAAGAACACCACCCCCAAATATCATTAAGGAACCTAAAGAACATAAGAAGTAAAAGGTAGGAGAGGGAAGTCAAAGCAGCAGCAGTACAATTAGATAATTTAATCTCAAGTAAGTAGGATGACCATATAATTTACCATCCTAACCAGGACATATTTGAGAGGAAAGGGGACACTATTAATAATTACACAGGGACAACAGGTGTAGGCTGGAGCTGTCCCAGGCATAAGTGGATATGTGGTCACTCTCTATATAAGGGCAATCGGGTCCTCAAGGTTGAGTTCACGCCCACAGCTTGGGGTCTGGCAGAAGTACAACACTCCGACAGTGTCTTCCTGAAGGACTCAAGTGGTCAAAAACGCAAGACTGGTTTTCATTTTTTTACAGAGAAATAAAACACAATTCATGGCCTTTACTGAAGTGTACTGATTCGTGATTCATAAAACAATGGGCATATCATGAGATTTTATTAAGAGCTATAATTTAGTGTTCTTGAAATTTTAGAAGGCTGAATTATACTTTGAAATGCACTGGCAGGCATACTAAGGAAGTCCTGAGGTGAATCATTTTATATAAACCTACATTTTTATATATTACATTAGAGCCCTACAAATATATGTATACACTCTTTTTTTTTTTTTTTTTTGAGACAGAGTCTCCCTGTCACCCAGGCTGGAGTGCTGTGGTGTGATCTCAGCTCACCGCACCCACTGCCTCCCTGGTTCAAGAGATTCTCCTGCCTCAGCCTCCCAACTAGCTGGGATTACAGGTGGGTGCCATGACGCCCGATTAATTTTTGTATTTTTAGTAGCGACAGGGTTTTACTATTTGGCCAGGTTGGTCTCGAACTCCTGACCTCAGGTGATCTGCCTGCCTTGATGGATATACTCGTTTATACTTACATTTGACTAGAGACAACTGAGACTTGAAAATTTGAAAAATCAAGTTAGAATTACTGAGAAAATTAGTAGCTCTGATGTTCTACCCATTCTTTATTTTTAAACTAAAATTAATCTTAATGACCTACAAATAGGTTAACTTAAACAGTCCATACCTTACATGAGAAGCTCCGACTTGGGATGTTTCTTGCTAACTCTGATATCTTGGGTTTATTCTGAAGACACTTGGTTAGGTGATATTTTTTCAATTTTATTCTATTGTAATAATGATCAGCGAAGTTATAGTGATTCAAATGCTGTTTCTGCATGCATTTTCCAAGGTGAGGAATACTATACTTCAAAGCTTGGAGAAATAATTTAGTCTTCTGCTGCATGATACCAAAGTCCCTGGTTTATGCTCCTTTTGGGGCTGCCAGCACACGAATGATTTTATAGGTATGATTACAGAGTAGTGGGTTCTCAGAGTATCTAAGATCAGCAGTTCTCATTGCTCCTTTTCAGGGCCATGCCCCGCTTAGGTTATGAGTAACTTCAGACAGCTGATAACTTAGGCTAACTAAATCTAAAAACGTGTGTGAGTTAAAGTTTCATTCAAACCATACTTCTTGGCAGATGTGACTTAAATGTCTCATTTGTAAAATTAATCCTATCAGGCTCAAACTATGCAGCACTGATTCTGGCACACATAGGGGCAAACTAAAACAAAAAACAAAACAAGAAACAAAATAAAAAATTGCAAATAAGTACACAGACTTAATGGGATATCTCAGGAACTCAGGGCTGTAAAAGGTAAAAAGCCTTTGGTCTTACATAATTATGAACATATCTTTGGTATGTATGTGGAAGATAAACTGGAAAAGCCTAATTATTTAATAAAGGTGGGGGAGGGAAGATTAATTATTGTTGAGTGTTAACTAAGTGCCAGGTGCTTTTATCTTGTCTAATTTAAATTTTATATGGACTTGATAAATTAGATACTACAATGCACATTTTACAAGTTGCCAAACTGTGGCTGTGGGAGGGTCTGAGCAACTGTTCCAGGTCACTTGGACAGTAAGCTATATAGCAAAAATTCCAATTTGTTTTGGTTCCAAAAATTGGAAAACTCAACTATGGATTTTAACGTTAAAAAGGTATTTAGTGCTTTAATTAAAAACAACAAAAAAACCCTGCAAGATGCACAAATAAAATGTGAGGCCATCTCTGGTTTGTCAGGAGGTAGCTTTTATTAACCTTGAGAGCTAATAAGTAGTTAAGAGTCAGAGAGACCTGGGTTGAGGTCTTAGCTCCAACACTTAACTGTGTCTCTGGGCCTCAGTTTCCTTATCTGCAAAAATGAAATGACACCATTTACCTTCTAGGGTTGTTGTTGTAAAAACAAAATGAGGCAGTTTAATGTTAAGACCATACAGTGCCTGGCACGTAGTGACCACTCAATAAATGGCAGTTGCTGTGATTTACGTCAGGAATAATCTAGGTCTATTGCACACAGCTGAACGTCATTATGGACGTCTTCCACAAAATACCCCCTGGTATCAAAGGTAGAAGGCTGCGTCAAATTTACCATAGATCAGATGCGCTACGACGCCCCCGCCCCCTTTAATCCCTTTCCATGTCGCAGCAAAATAATGGGTGATTGGGGGTAGAGAAGCAACACTAGTTTACTAGCCGACACTAGTAAAAAAAGGGGAAAAAAGACCCGAATAACAAGGGCCTGCAAAGGTCCTACATCACCACGTCCCCACAGCCTTTATCCATCCTTCATCCTCAAGGAGAAGACAGTATGCAAGGCTAGGATGGGGGTGGGGTAGATAAACGGGTGTTCTCGGGAGAACCTATTCGTTTTCCCCATGCAACTCTCCACCCCAGGGATGAGGCGATCTGAATGCAACAGGGAGAGGGACCAGGTGACACGCACGCAGTGCTGGGCCATGAGTCAAAAAGCGAGGACCTGGGGACTGAGGGGTGGGTGGCTGGGTGTGGGGAGGAAGGGGAGAAGGGAAGAGACCAGTACACTCCCCATACATACGCAAATTGAGAGAATCAGTCCGGCTCTGGACACAAACCAGTGAAGGCAGGCCGGAGAACCTGAAGCTCTCAGAGAGGAGCAGATGTCACCGCAGGCACGTCCAGCCGAAGTCTGCGTTCCGCAGCCCACAGAACGACAACCTACCCAGAGCCACCTAGAGCTGGTTTGCAGCACGCCGAGCTACGTAACCTCAGTCTACCACGAGCAACAGGCAGATTTCGCCATCTTTGTTGTGGTCAAGGATTCTTCTGGCGTTCCTGGGTTCTTTAGTCTCAAAATATATAAGACTCTCTGTTCTTTGCTAGTCTTCTGAGCTCGAGATGAAGCAGGGAAGACTAAGACAATGAGGAACAGCGTTCCAGTAGCCCTGCCACATTTCTCTAACCCTCTGGTCCGCCCTCACTCAAGATGGCTACCAGCAAAATGGTGCAATGACGTGACAGCGCGGCCCTGGTTGCCAAGGAGATGCGAGTACCGGAAATGCGGAATTCGGGGAGGGCGCGCATGCCTGGGTCGTCGCGGGGGGGTGGGGGGCGGGCGTCACAGGTCCTGACAGGGAAGAAGTTGGCAGGTCCTGGCAGGGGACGAGCTGCGGTGGCGGCACCTCCGGGTATGGAAGGCTCCAGTGAGATGGAGCCGCGAGTCGCGGACGCTGGGGCCGGTGAGACTGCGAGAGCAGCGGGCGGCGGTCCGGCAGTTGGCTGCACCACTCGGGGGCCCGTAGTCTCGGCGCCCCTGGGAGCCGCCCGGTGGAAGCTCCTGCGGCAGGTAGGGGAGAAGCTGCTCGCCTCACCTTTGCCTCTGGTCACTCCCCTGTCACGTACCGGGGGAGCGACCGTTCGCAGCTCTTTCCTCTTGGCAGTTCTGGGAGTCCCTTCTCAGTTTGCCAGGAGCCACCTGTGAAGCTCCCCCTCGGTTCACCTAAGTGTCCCATCCAAGAGCAGGAATAGGTGGGGTTGGATGAGGAGGAAGACAGCCAAGGCTGAGCTCCTGGGAAACTCAGATCGAAGTAGAGGAACCCCTTCTATACATTTTTGTGCGTCTGGGGGACTTTTCCCCTTCTCGCCAGTCTCTGGTGCGCCCGCCGCTCCCCACTGCTCTTTTCCTGCTTCTGTTTTGCTTCCTTCCCCAGGTTTCTTCTAGCTTAACTCCCAGCCTGGTTCTAGTTACTGATGTTCTTCTGCACCCTCTGGCCCCGTCTTTTGCCCAGCGTGGTTGACTGTGCCGGGACTGAGACGCGGCACGCGTTCCCTTGGCATCTTCCGTACAGCGGAGCGTGCAAGGAGTAGGAAGAGCTGACCTCCTCTCCCACCGAGGTCTCAAAGTTCAATGATATCTTGTAGTTTGAAGTGATCAGCGAGATTCTCCGTGTCCAAAGTGGTTTAGTCAAAGTGTGTTCGTTTGTTGAATGGTGGTATCTTCTGGTACTTCAAAGTTTCTGCTGTTACTTAGAACTTCTCTCGTGCAAGCTTGACGGAAGTTCTGATTTATGATCACTCACATTCTTCGCTCACTTCTTGAAGTTAATTTAAGTCTGGTTATTGTTTTTACATACCAGTGTTATGCCTCTGCCTGAAGTTTTCTGCCTAAAGCTTTACTCAGGAGGACATTTTTCCATTTCTGACAGTTGTGTTTGGAAGAGTTTCCCAGCTATTGCCACTTTACTTGAGATTGTGCTTTTAGTATTTTGAGGGTCACTTTGTTTGCAGTTGCCTTGAGTCACCTTTTCATACAGTGGTCTTTTAGTGCTTTTCGAGTTATGAGTTAAGTAGATCATCAGAGTTAATTAAAATTTATTTGCTGATGCATTGACAGTCTTTCCAGACCAGTAATGATCTGGTTTTGCTATTGTTACAAAGGTATGCGAGGATAAGAAAATGCCATGTCTCTCACAAGATCACAATAGGAAAGTACCTATAATAAAGTAAAACATCTTGAGTTTTTTTTTTTTTAAATGACCAGCCGAAATGGATCCTGGACCTCAACCTCTCCCTGCACACCGCTTTTTTTTTTGAGATGAGGTTTCGCCTTGTGCACAGGCTGATGCAATGCTTGCCATCTCGGCCTCACTGCAAACCTCCGCCTCCCGGGTTCCAAATGATTCCCCTTTCAGTCTCCCTACAGCTGGATTACAGGCATGCACCACCAAACACCGGCTTTTTTTTTTTTTTTTTTTTTAAGTAGAGACCGTTTCCCGCATGTTGTCAGGCCGGGTCCCGAACCCCGACTAGGTATCCACCCACCCCTCGGCTTCCCAAAGGCTGGATAGTAGCGTAGCCACATCCCCCGCCCCCTCCCCGATTTTTTGTTTGTTTGTTTTTTTTGATATAGAGTCTACTATGTCATCCGGGCGGAGTGCCTGGTGCATGTTGACTCAACTGCACCCTCTGCGCCCTGGTTCAAGCCATTTCCCCCTACCCAGCCCCGAGTAACTGGGATACAGCCGCTCACCCATCCACCACCGCTATTTTGATTTTTATAGCTACGAGTTTCGCCATTGCCAGGCTGGTCTCGAACTCTGACTTTCAGGTGGAATTCACCTGCCTTGCCGTTCCCAAAGTGCGGGATACAGGCCTGAGGCCACTTGTGCCTCCCTGCGCCCACACCTCCCCCCTCGACTTTTTTTTTTTTTTTTTTGAGACGGAGTCGCGCTCTGTCCCCAGCGGAAGTGCAATGCCGAACCCATTCACGCAGACTCCGCCTCCCGGGTCCTGCCATTTCTCCTGCCCTCAGCTCCCCGAGTAGCGGGACTCACAGCGCCACCACCTCGCCCGCTAGTTTTGTATTTTTTAGTAGAAAGACGGCAGTTTCACCGTGTTACCAGGATGGTCCCGATCTCCTGACCCGTGGATCCGCACCCCTCCCAGCACCTCCCAAAAGGCTGGATTAACAGGCTTGGAGGCAGCCGCGCCTGGCCTTGTTTTTTTTTTTTTTTTTTTTTTTTTGTAATAAACTAACTAGGGGTCTACTTGTTGCCCAGGCAGGTAACTCCGGCTCAAGATGACCTCCCCTTCATCCTTCCGAGTATTGGAATACAGGGGTATGCCGTGATGCCTGGCTTTCAGTGATTCTTAGTGTAGTAAAAGCTACAGCATTTACGTTCCTTATAAATTGCGGTCTAAATGAGAACAGTGACAAGTTTCAGCTGTGGCTGTTACATGACCTCCCCACACGTTCTGACATTGAAACTTTTGGTATACATCTGCCTGCTTGGAGTCTTTTTATCTTCTCTACTTGGTGAATGATTGTTCATTCTTCACACTTCCATTTCAAACTACTCTTCTGTGAAGCCACCCCTAATGCCTCTGGGCTAAGTTAAACCCTCAGCCCACTCTACTAGTGAGCCCCTTATATTATTTTATGATCATGTGATCAGGGTCTCTCTTTATTACTAGAACGGGCATTCTCCCTGGGAAAAGGTGATGTTTTATTAGTTTATATCCTCTGCATCTAGCACAGGACCTGGTTAATTGGTTTTTAGTAGATGTTGTTAAGTGTCTGTGGAAAGCCTGAGAGTAAGGTCAGTCTTTAAATGGCGCATAGCACCTCGTCCTTAGTGTATTTTATCAGTAAGTTATTGCTCAGTAAGAACCACAACATCACAGTGGCATACAGCAGTTAATATTTGTTTTGTTGGTGCATGTGGGGACCACCTGGGAGCTGACTGACATAGGCTGTAGTCACCTGGGTATCTCTATGATGCACATGTGGTCCATATGTCTCTAATCTTTGGACTAGTGGGCTAAAGTCCTCATGGTGATAGCAGAGGTATAAGAGCAAGCCCAACCACAGAAACACATTTTAAACCCCTGCTCACATCATGTGTTTACTTCCTATTGGCCAAAGTCAAGGGGCAGGGAAATACAACTCCTTCCTTGGAGGTGACAAAGAGGAAGTGAATCTTTTTCTATTATAATTTAATCGATCACATATATTAAACATTTACAAGCTCTTAGTAAATGTATTTCAAATGAATGAACCATTCCTATCTTATATGCATCTAGTACTGGAAAACTATAAGGGATCTAAGCAGTGCTAGAGATATGTGACTCCTTTTCTCTCTTGTGGGACATCTGCAGAACATCTGCTCTGTCCGCTTGTTTTTTCCTTTACAATTCTGTCTTTCCATTACCCTATAGAGCTCCAGTGCTGTCTCATGGCCTTTTACTTTATGTTAACTGTTCAGTATTTTCTGTGTTTTGTAATTAACAAAACACAGGTTTTGAGAGAAAACCTGGTTGACCTAGTGCATCATTTGGTTCCAGGTTACCTGATAAATTGCCAATTTGAGTCAAGCGAGTACTTAAATTAGATGAGGTCTGGAAGTTTATTAATCAATATCAGTAGAGGTTATGGATGTTGTTCTATTTTCCTTTGTTGAGTCTCATTACATGTTGACAAAGATGGCCACTGGCAACTCCAGACTTTCATATCCATCCAGCTAGTAATCCGGAAGAAATAACTCTTTTCCCCAACATCCAAATCATTTCTTCCAAAGGACTCTGATAGGCCAAGGTTGGACCAATTGCTATGTCCAGAATGGGGCACTTTGGCTAACCTGGGTCATCAACCCACCCTGTGGCAGGTAAGGTGTAACAACCTCACTAGAATTACATAGAGTGAGGGAAGGGCAGTTCCTAAAAGGAGGTGACGTAGGGCAGATGGAAGAGTAGCAATGACTGTTACACGTGTATTTACAAACCACCTACCGAATGAAAAATCTTGCCTAGAGGTGTGACTACCTGGCTGAAGAATCTGATTATGGAATATTTCACAGTACAATTTATATCAAAGCAGGATGCTTTTACCTGGATTGGCTAATTGAAAAAGTTGGTTAAGAGGTGAATTGTAATAACAATACATATTCCAAGTGAAGTTATTTTCTGAGTGTCAAATCTTTCTAGATATTTATAATTCTTCAAATGTTTGTAGTTGGCTTCCAATACCTAAATTGATACTAAACTTTTAAGCAACTTACCTTTATCTTTCTAAAACATTCAACTTGGCTTTTAGGGTAGCGACAACTCCCTTTTAGCTCTATGTTATTAGTTTTGTAATATTTAATTAATGACAAGTTAAATATTTAATTGATGACAAATTTAATTTATTTAATGACAAGTTAAATATTTCATTGATGACAAATTTAATTTGTTATTTTGAAGAACAAGTAGAATAAAAAGGTTTGTGAAGAAGCACAGTTAACTTGGCAAGCATACAACTTGACACTGGCATCAGATGCATCTAAATCTTGATCCAGTCCTAGGTCTACCACTTGCTGTGCGCTCTTCACTGATCTGTATCAAGTATTTAGATTGTTATGGAATGTATTTTTGTTTCACCTTTATTCTTGACTTTGTTTTATATCCTTACTTTTGCTTTCTTTTTTTCTTTCTCATCCACTTTTCACAAATGGTATCTTGTATTGTTCATCTTTTTAAGCCATCTTAAATCCTTTTGGTAATAGGTGTGATGTAAGTCTTCTGTAAGTTGTCGGAATTTGGACAGCTTTTTACTTTTCTAACCTCAGTTTTCTCTTCACTTAATGGGAGCAATAACACATACTTTGGAGGGTTGTTTTGAGTATTTGACATAATATTTGTAAAATGCTTAGCTTGGAATCTGCCACGTCATAGACTCACCATAAATAGTAGCTATTATTATTATTATTATTTGAGACAGAGTCTCACTCCATCACCCAGGCTGAAGTGTAGTGGTGTGATCCTAGCTCACTGCAACTTCCATGTCCTGGGTTCAAACGATTCTTGTGC